TCGTCGAGGTTGACTCTTGGATCGAAGACGAGAAAACTGAGATTTATCCTAGCACCGATTACGGTACACACACGCACATATGTACGATTGTATACTTTTACGTGGGCGTACAAATACACTGGCATATACTTCGTCTTGTGCTACGATTACACTGGAAGACGAGGACGAAATATTCGGTGGTTAAATTGGATGCGCGTTTGAATAATAATTATGTGAACAACTTCAGTTATTAGAATGACTTAAGGTCGTGCATATGGATATTTCTTGTTCGTATTCGTAAGAAGGCAGATATTGACTGCTTGAAGTTTTGGATCGTTCAAAAGATTTCGTGTACAGGATTTGGAATGTAAGAATTTATATGACACGACGTACTGAAGGTGAAGAAAAATATTTACAGGCTCGATGGGAAATTATCGAATTTAAAATTAAGGTAATTTAAATGAGATAAGATAATTTAACATTATCGAATCATCTGTACGGAGTATTATTTTAAACTGTTTAACAAAATCGTACAATTCGAGTGAAATTATTTTGAAGCGTGAAATTTCTACTCTATCTTAAATTCTGTTTCTTCAAAGGTGTTTCTACATCGTGCAGTATGTGAAATAAGGATACTGAAGAAATTTGTTTCGTGACTAGATTTTAGAAGATTAAAGTCCTCCCTTTACATCGATCTCTTAAAATTTTCTGTACGATTTTTTTGAACCTTGAACATTAGAGTACGCAATCCTAATGTTCAAAATTCGATAAAGCGATGGAAAAAAGATCGTATAGCACGTTGTAGGACGTTTGTTATAGAAAGCATACTTCAATCTTCAAAATTTTGGTAGCTTATTAATATTTTCACAGTCATTCGAATTTTTACAATTTTCGACAAGAAAAAGTGTCCTTGCTTTTCTGCTTGCTACGCAATGTATTCAAGAAGATTTTTGAAAGAAACTAGGCTGCCAACGTGAAGGCTTCACGATTCAAAATGGATTGTTATACGACTTTTCTTGTTTTTAGTAAAGTTATAACAGTTTAAAACACAGACAATTTTTCATCGAGTCTTCGAATACTTTTGCCTGCCATCTCTACGTATTCCTAGATCGTTCATGAAACGTTCATTTTTAACAGATAATGGAACATAAGTAACTGTCAATTTAACAGCACAAAATAGCTTTCAGATAAATAAAAAAAAAAAAATTGTACATTTTATATAATTGTTAAATGGACGGAGCAAAATTAATTTCAAATCAAATTTTTAAATCGGACGCGAGAGCAATTAAACTTCAAATCAGATCTCTTGAAATAAAGTTAAATTCATTCAACGTGCACAAACGACTAGCGATAAAACCAATAAAACGCGAGCAGCATGATCGCATTCATTCATTTCAAGACGATTCGTTTCGACAAATTGACCATGCTTCCGGTGTAATCGTAGCCTCATGCCACGAAATGAAAAGAAGGAAGTAAAGAGAACGATGGAAGATTTTCATTTTTCTTTCATTTCTCACGCTTTACGATCGCGCGTTTTCCCTTTTTCTCTTTGATTTTCTTTTTTTTTCTTTTTTCGCGAAACGCGTACGCTTCATTTACTACTCGTGCAGGCTGCGAGAAAAGCGGAAAGACAGGGGGGAAGGGGGACGCTCGTACGATCGTTTTCATTCATAGTCGCGCGAAGGACGCGACCGTGGCGCGGCGAGCCAATGTTTCAAGGATTCCGTCGGGCATCGACCGGATCGCGACATCCTCTGCGATCCTGCGTTCTATCTGCTAGCCGGAAGTCACTCTCTCAAGCTGCGTTTGCATCAGGCGATTGTCGTTGAGCCGATCTCAGATTCAGTTTCAACGTTTATACTTTTTTTTTTTTTTTTTTGGGTCATCACCAGTTGCCAAGGTGCAACTAATTTTCAGAATTCTCACGTGCATAACAATTGCGATCGATTTGCCGCGCTAAACAGTAAACAGGGGGAAAATATTCGGAAATAATCGAAAAATAAAATAAATAGGCGGAAGTATCAGTGGCGAGCTAGAGAGTGAATTGAATTTTTTTTTTTGAAATCTTGACATAAAGAACGTACAAAAAAAGTTAGACACAGACGTGAAAGATTCAGCTTTTCTGAAAACCGATAAATATGCTCGTCTGTAAAGAATTAACTTCTCTGTTCGAGTTTTTAACATTGTACCAACGGTGGGTTTCGAATCAAACGAATTGTTCGTCCTCCACTCTGACAAATTCGCGCTCATTTGTTGCACCAACACGACGGAACACGACCTTTGTAATTAATACGAGTATAAATTTGATCGTTTCATGTAAACGTAGCTTATGCGACCGTAGGAGACACGCAACAGGTATTGCGCATCGCGATAGCAGGTTGCGATCGATCACGAGAAAAGAAACAGGATGTCGTGGTGCCACGAGCAAATGAATAAGTAGACAGATAGAGAAAGAAAGAAAGAAAGAAAGAAAGAGAGAGAGAAAGAGAGAGATCGTTTCTCCGTGACGTTGGCAGGCTATCGTTTTCTCAAGAGATATGTAGAAACAAAAATCGTGTTCGTTCCATCGGCCTCCACTCGAGTATTTCCACCGCGTCCTGGAAGATCGACCGACGACGGAATTATGCACGTCTGACGTACGACGAAGTCGTCCGAAACGCCCGGACGATGCCCCTCGTTTCGAAAAAGTATACTACTCAGCTACTCTCGAGTATTATTCGTACGACGTTGACTGCCGCTGCTCGCGCTGTCCCAGACTCTCCCTCTCCCCATCCAATTTTTCCCTCGAAATTCTTTTTTCCCCACAAAATTCTTGTCTCACGAGAACCCTTTCTTTTCCCGTGTGAACTACACTAGAGTATACGTGGCTTGTGGTTGCTGTTGTCGCTTGTAGACGCGTTGCATGCATCGGGCCCGTTCGTCCGTCGATTATTTTGTAACCGGAAGTCATCGGGAGGAATGCAACGTGAATGGAATCCCTCACGGAATGGTCAACACGGCGCTCGGTGCGGCTTCGAAGGAGAGCGAAGGTTACAAAATGAACGCGCTTCGACTTTTAATCCCATCGTCTCGATATTTTTGACTCAACTTTTTTGGTACAGCAGTTGCTGGATTACGCGAAGAGAGATTCTGTTTTTCCTTTTTTTATTTTGCGAAATTAAACAAGATATTCGCTAGAAAGTGTACTTAGTAGGATGTTATTAATAATAGTAGTTCTTTGGCATAGATATGGATTTTTGATTTCACGTGAATTTTGAGATGTTTATTGTAAACGTACATTCAGTAAAATTAGTATATAGAGTGAATAGTTAACCCTTAGCACACTTAATTTAAACTTTCCTGAATATTACTGCGTATAAAATTTCGTGTAATTAATTAGTAATTTAAAATATTAGTATGTAGAGTGAATAACGATGTCTATCTTTAGCATGCGTTTTTAACAGTTATTAAGATGCATAAAAAAAGATATATATATATATATTCTTAAAAGTTTCAACAAACTTTTCTTCGTCTGTTTTTCTGAGAAGTGAGAATTTCATTTTTTAAATATAATTGAACTTTCAATATTGTGGAAAAACAATATTATGAATAAAATATTTATTTAGTTGAAGAGATCATTTTGTGTCACTTCATTATTATATTAATGGAGATTTATTCTATATATAAGTAACAAATTATCTCTTTGTTGTGTTTAAAATTACCAAAAATATATTGAATGAGGAGCGTATAATAAAAATGCATTTATCTTTAAATATCTTTTGATATATTTATTCGATTTACTGTAATAATATTATATTATAATATATGATATATATAATATAATAGTTAATTATTTTAATAATCAATATAATTAATATAATAATTAATATATTATATTATCATATTTAATATAATAGTTAATTATTTAATTATTTGAATAATTAATATAATAGTTAATATATTACATTATCATATTTAATATAATAGTTAATTATTTAATTAATATTTAATTATTTTAATAATTAATATAACAGTTAATATTATTATATTTAATAGTTATTATAATATAATAATTATTACACTGTAATAATAATTATTACTGTGTACAGATAAATGATAATAATCATATTATAATTGTTCTGGTCTCTTCAAGCTTCTAATAAATAAACCAATTACTTTATTATTCACAAGATCATCTCCACGAACATATTACGAAATATTTAAAGGATTGAAATTACCTCTTTTAAAAAATTTCACCCCAAAAGAGAGGGAGGGGAAAAAAAAAAAAAGAGAAATCAACACGCACATCAATAATACGCGTCTATCGGAGTAGTCGGGGACTCGAGTGACCCCATTTAGGTGTGCCAAGGGTTAAACAGTGCTTCCACGATCCGTGGCTGACGGATGAAATTAAAGCTAGTTTCCTCCACGAGAAACGGGATTAAAAGGATTAAAGGGAATATCGCGGAAGCGATATAGCGGATCAACAAATCCGAGAGCACGTGTTCTTATCCAACACCGTGTACCGATGTATACCATGGAACAATGCAAACTCGATGTTCCCTGCCGTGTGTTGGTTGTTTGACGAACGGGCCTGAATCGCCGAAATGAAATTCGTCGAACGATGAAAGCGCGAGGCAGATAAAGAGCCGGCTGCGTTGTTCAACGTTCGACGAACGTTGGCCGTAGGCTAAAGGTAATGGATCGCATGTGGGCCAATGTGTATTAATCAAGACGGCATTGTACTCGTCTAGGCGAGCACGTATGTGCGCGTATGTTGGACGAGTATCGTGTGGTCGTCGGGATAATTGAATATTTCTGATTGCCAGGCCAGGTCTCGGTACGAACTTTGCACACTGGCGGGCGTAAAGTGTCGTCCAGCTTTATTAAACCTTCCGATAGAACCGATACCGAGGAGACCTTTTCCGATAAGTCAATTATCCCTGGTTAGAAAGTTGCGCCTGTGGTCGAATCAACGCCGGCACGAAATAATCTGTGTGCTTTTCGATTTTCCCGTGTCGACTCGATGACACACGAAACAGATGGGAAATACCTGGTGCTGCCGTCCGGTGAGCTTCACATTCGCGATGTCGGGCCCGAGGACGGATACAAGACCTATCAGTGCCGTACCAAGCATAGACTCACAGGAGAGACAAGACTGTCTGCCACCAAGGGACGTCTCGTCATCACCGGTAAGTGATGAACAATGTTCACAAGAAACGATCAAAGTTTCGTCAACGTTTTTTTCGTCGGAATCACGATTCTGATTTGCTCGAATTTAGTCGACTCGTAATAATTTCTTAAGCTTCTCGCGTGCGGTGCGAAGCGTAACAAAGTGTTTCGTCGCATTGTCAAAAGCGTTTGCAGATCGTTTGTCGTTTTCAACAGTGAAAAAAAAAAAAAAAAGAAAAAATCAGAATCGTGTTTTTTCTTGTTTCGAACCTGGACGCGGTCGTCGCGCGCGCGAATAATTTTTATCATCGTCGCGATATGAGATTACAGCGAGATCCAGCGTTTTTTGCAGCGAGTGTAGAAAGTATTCGTACATTAACGACCGGTGGAAAATTGTTAATATTTTGAGCACTTGCAAAACATCGCGAAGAGTATTTAAGAAGTCATTTTAGAGGGGAGACTTTAATCTTCATTTAGTGATAAAAGTTTTTCAATGTCTATAAAGATGTTTGAATTTGCAAAATTTTCACTTTGAAAGAAAGCGAAGTTAACGTTGCCAAAGTGGAAACTTCACACTTTAAGACGAGCCTTGCATTGCTCTACAGTTTGAAATGTCGACAATGTTTCATCTTGGCTCATTTTGATGCGAGACGCCTCAATTATAACAATACCGAGTTCGTTTCGTCCAAAAGTATTTTCACATCATTTTGGAATGAGTAAATAAAGATACTTTTACTGTCGAACATCTTTACGAAAATGTGAAAAATTTTTTTCACAACCTCTCTATCGACAACGAGCCGTTAAAATTTATCGCTCGACATGCTTTTTTTTTTTATAAAGTTATAAGCAAGTGTTTATGCATAATATAATTTAAATTTATAAATTAATATAATTATTATATTGTTATTATTTTTAAAATATTTCAATTAAAATTTTAAATTTTAATATTATAAAATTTTTCGATTTTTTTATAAAGTTATAAGCAAGTGTTTATACATAATATAATTTAAATTTATAAATTAATATAATTATTCTATCGATATTATTTTCAAAATATTTCAATTAAAATTTTTCGCCAAGCGTATGAATAATTTCTACACCATTTATATGAATCAATTCCCAATTAAACCTCCATTGAATTTCTTTAAATCTGAACTTCTATAATAACTAAAACTGAACTTGTACAATATCATATCAAATGGAAAATCCATTAGTATCTGATCTCTTAATTTTCTTTTGACAATTTGTTCCACAACCAGTTTGTACAAATAAAGTTCTACCCCGTGGATTCGAAAATTTTCGATTTTCCTCCTTTTTCCACTTTCTTCTTTTTTCTTTTTTTTTTTTTTTTTTNTTTTTTTTGGTTTCTGTCGCTCGGTTCAGAAATTTACGGTCGCGCGAGATAAACACGAGCATGTTGAACGAGGACTCTTTTGCGATGTAAATCGGCCGGCGCGCACGCGGTACCGAATTCGTGTTGCCGGCCGGACTTTAACTACTCTTTTATCGTCGCGTTTCGGGCAACTTTTGTCTGGGTTCGAAACTGTTTGCCGAGGCAATTGATTTTCCCTGGAACAGAGTGAACAGACACACCCCAAGTGCTTGGCCGGACAATGCAATTAACCAATCGAGTATATAATTTTGTACCTGCGAGAGTGTCTTGGAAAATCGATTGCCACCGGGTCGAAGTAGCCACGTCGATGTACGTGTTATCTTTTGAACCAGCGAGCTTGATCGAATTACCTGCGAAAATGAACGTAAAGCAAGTCGCAACGATTTCGCAGCTTTTGGTGAAATTCAATTTGTGCTGAAACGGAAAGCAGAAATTTTGTTTATTTGAAACTAAAGAAGATGGGAAACGATGCGAAGGATGATGAGGATCGAGCTCGTTGGTAAAACCTGAATGCTGGGACAGGGTACCCCTGCGGGCACGCGCCACCGCCCGCCCATGATTTCACTCTTGGCATGATCGGTTTTCACGAATTTACCGAAATTAACAGAAGAAAAGAATGAGAAAGTAAAGAGAGAAAAATTTCTGTGCAAATGTAAAATTCCATTTCGACGCTTTGCGGCCGCCCTCACGCGATCTCCGGGCTCTGTCCTTCGCTCTCGCGTGGTAAGTCAAACGTCATTCTAATTATTTACAACGAAACGAAGATAACTCTACGTGTTTTTAACACATGGAACAGCGATGACGCTCGATGCAGCTGTCAGCGTTCACCACGTTCTCGGTTTTGTTCGTATCGATTCTGATCCTCAAATGGTATCGTTGATTCATTTGATTATTTAGGCATTCTAAGAATTTTCAGGCGTTTAATTTTAGTTTGTGTTCTCCATTCATATTAGTAGAGATAGAGGTGATTGAGTTGGGAGAGTTGAGGTTTCAAATTGCCGACTTTAGTCGATTTATTGGATAAAACATTGTCAGATTGTTATTGTAGACCGAGGGTTTCTGAAGTTTGATCATATTTCAAGGTAATATAATCATATTTATTATTATTCAAAGCGGCTGTACGTATTATCATACTGGCATAAACGTACAATAATTCAAATAATAATGATAAAAATAATTGCTGTATTATTTTGGAACACGATCAAGTAGGCTGCATAAAATTTCGGAACCCTTGGTGTACACAATAGGATGATTTTTAATTGCACGTCAACACTTTCAGGTGGCGAGTTTACACACTAAAAGACACGCTGAATATTTTCCTTAATTATTTATTTATTCAATTATTATTCTTTCTGTAACTTTTGCTTACTTTAGCTTACTGTATTAACGTGCAATTAAGAATTACACTAAACAGGATGAATTAGCTAAATGATGAATCATCTAAACTTCCGAGGACAAAGTTACGCTATTTTAAGAGACTTTCCAAATGTAACGTTGGAAATATATTTCTTTGTGAGATCTTAGTTTTTCACAAGTTTATCCAAAAATAAACCAAAAAGAAAAATGACAATTTTCTATTCAGTAAATCATTCAAGCCAAATGAGAATGTCGCCGCGAAGCAAATCAGAAACTTCCAAAGTTAAACAATATCAAATCTGAGTACGATTTCCAATTGCTCAATGATACCAGTTAGGAGTTAAAGCGTTCTTCTCGCGGGAATAAATTCAAGAGACACATACACACATACACGTACACGCACGCAGCTTCGTTGGCTCAACAGAGTTACTCAATCGTCAACGTGAGCGGGTGAAACCATCCAGCGAATGCGATTCCATCTGAATCTGAATCGCACAGTGCGGTACTGTGCAATTAGGTTAACGACGGCCGAGAGATAATGAGAATCACAATGAGACGAGGAAGAAGGGTCCGCGCCGCAAACGACTCCACCAACACCAATCGTCATAGCGTGCCGTTTTCGTTGTGAAACAGAACCGGTGGGCAGCGTGCGGCCAAAGTTCCCTTCGATGGACAACATTAACGGACTTTCGACGGAATCGAAAGGCGATTTACCGCTTCTCTGCCCTGCCCAAGGATTCCCGGTACCGGTTTATAGGTACGACTTATATCTCTGATCACCACCGGTCAGCATGATCGAAAGAAAGGGAACCTCTCGCGTCGTGTAGGCGAGACTAGAAATATTGGGGGAAAAAAACCGGAAGAAACGTAGGTTACGTTCGCGAAGACTAGATTTGTCAGGAATTTAGGAGGTTTCTTCGTCGCAGTTGATGGCGAGATCGTTTCTCTTTTATTGCAAGTAAGATCGTTTCTCTTTTATCGCACAGCGACTTGGATTAACCTCTCGCGCTGGCAACTGGCTCGCGGACCGTAACGAGTGACCGAACCCGTATATACAATAATTCGTCGCTTTCTGCTTCCTTTGAACTCGCCGGTATGATATCACTGAATAGAAATTGTCGAGAACTGATAAATTTATTATTTGCTTTGTCCAGATTGTATTTAAATATATATAAAAATTGAGAAAATGTTGCAATTTGGGGGAAAAAAATTGTCGACGTGCGTGGCACGTCGTTCCAGCGCAAGAGGTTAATATTCGGATTAAATATTGAAACTGTTGCAAGTTTGTAAAAGAGGAATTGTGTAATAACAAACGTGGGCTCGTTTGAAAGCGTGATACCTCAATTTTCGAAGTATATATCGTCTGTTTTAAAATGTTTTTATATAGATGAATGAAGATAGTTTACCTCTCGAAAATACCGTAAACTGTCATAGCACGTAGAAACATTGAAACAGTTTTTTCATAATTTAATCTACGATGGATTTGAAGATTGAAACCCTTTGCAACAATCCCTCGAAACTTCCTGTACGATTTCTTTTCCACCAATTCATTGAATTTCGAGTATCAGGTGAGAACGAAAATATTTCTTCTTGAATTTTCGTCGCACGAGTCCATTCCAAGTTCAATAAAATGCGAAAGAAGATCGTACGTCAAGTTTTCCAGGATCATTGCAAAGCTTTGATCTTCAAATCCATCATCAAGTCAATCGTGTAAACGATTTCTCAATGCCTTTACTATGACAGTTCAAGCTTTAAAATGAATTCAAGTGAATTATTGTACGATTTCTCCCTGCAAAATAAAATAACGACAATTTCTCGAACGTTGAACATTTCGTGTTCGAACAGTTTCACGACTCTGCGTTTCAACACGCTCGAAAGAAATGTCAAACTGCGTCAAGGCAGAACAAGGAATATTGGGAAAATCGTCCCGAGTATTCGTGAATGACTGTTAAAGCTAGACTTTGGAACCGAAAACGTATCTTCCGTGTAAATTAGTCGAGATCGTTGTTGCTCTATTAACGCGTCGACGCGAAAGGGGTGGCTTTTGGAACGACCCTGCATCCCTCAGGGGTCTCCCGTTCCACGCACAAACGGGAGAAATGAATCTGAATCGTTGCCCGCGTGTCCCTCAGAACCCGTGGGCAGCGTTCGTCCAAAAATTCCATCGACGGACGACGTTCGTGGATTCAGGACGACGGTGAACGGTAGCGAGGCATTGATCTGTCCTGCACAGGGGTTCCCCGTACCCTCGAACAGGTAGAGAATCAATTA